GGCAGGACCAGAGAAACTGGGACGAGAAGTGGCCGGAGATTATGCTAGCAGTGAACACGAGCACATCGGAATCCACCGGCCATACACCGGCGTTTCTTACCCAGGGAAGGGAACCACGTCTACCCAGTAGCCTATACGATAAGGAAACCCTAGGAACCGGACGAGCTACGGAGACCCCTGAGGAAAATGCCAACAAACTAAGAGAGGTATTCGAGATCGTGCGGCGAAATATGGAAAAGGCGTCCCAGGACCAAGCCAGACACTACAATCTGAGAAGGAGACAGTGGTCACCAGCGGTGGGCGATATAGTGTGGGCCAAGGAACATCACCTGTCCAAAGCGGCAGAAGGATTCGCTGCAAAACTAGCCCCGAGGTACGATGGCCCTTACCAGGTTGTAGATTTCGTCTCTCCAGTGATCTGCAAAATTCGCCACACACAGTCGAAGAAAGAAAAGACAGTTCACGTTGGCGAGCTCAAGCAACAAGTAAACGAGCAGACAGCAGAAACATCAGATGTCTAACAACGGGTACGAGGCGGCAGGATTAGGCGTCAGGCCGAATCGAGAGTCATCCATACGCCACACGGAAAGGACAATCAGGATAGAACAAGGACATGGATAAGGATCACACGTTGATCCAGACTGCGAGGCCACAGGATTAGGCGTCAGGCCGAAGCGAGAGTCATCCACACGCCACGCAGAAAGGTCAACCATAAGGGTAGGGCACAAGGACGTGGATAGGGATGGATGGTGATCCCGACCGCAAGGCAACAGGATTCAGCGTCGGGCAGTTGCCAGAGTCATCCGCGATAACGCCAGGCGGAAGGGACACTTACAAAACGGCACAAGGATACGGGTAACGTAGAAGAGAGTATGCGCGGAAGGAGACAAGCAACACAAGACGCGCAGTCCAGACATACACCGCAGCATCCGGAGATTCTATACGGAATGCGCCGGACGAGCTCGTCTAGTTGTTACCCGAGGAAAAGGGGAGGACGGTGCAGAATCAGATCTACACCGTAGCCAGCTGGTCACAAAAAAAAAACAGAAACACGCACCACACCAACAGTTGGCTAAAAACAAGAAAAGGAACGGGGCATGCATGGGCCGCACCAGCAACCTGAAATTTAAAGGGGGCTTAATGCAGGAAGCAGAAAGACATCATAAATACTTACCGGCTGTCCTGGTTGCGAAGCGAATGCGAAGTCCTCTCCGCAACCGCTCTCAAAAGCTGCCAATGTGGAGTCAGATGCTGCCAACAGAGGACGAGTGAAGGGCGAGAGAGGACGAAAGGATGAGATGAAAAGGAGTGAAGGAAATGCAAAAGAAACTTACCTATGAATTTCATAGTATGAAAGTTGCAAAATCACCAGAGCCAGGGAAGGGGGCGCCTCGATAGGCGATCGATTGGCACTGGACGATAGTGCGATCGATGGGCACACGACAATGGAAATATCGGCCAAGGTGGAAATATCGCAAACGAGCAGGTGGCAACGCCGCACCGTCGGTATCGATATGCGAATCGATCACGCACGAATGGTGTGACCAGGCGGAGGAAACACGGAAAGGAGTGAGACGCAGCAATGAGCAGCGAGCTGGGGATCGATAGCCCAGGAGTATCGATGTCCCAGTGGGAACACAGGAAATATCGGCGCGGGAGATTTAAAGTTGCTACGAGGCGGATGACCCCCGCTGTAGAAACTCAAGGGAGTTAAGAGCGTCGAGGGAGCATCGAGGGAGCAACGAGGGAGCGCCGCGGGAATCACAAGGCCTCAAAGGCTAGGATAAGCAAGGAAACGCCGGAGAGTAGGAACCAGTCTTAAATGTTTCCCGAAGTAAGGGGGGAATGTGAGGAGTTGAATAACTCCCCACAAATAGAACCAGCAGCAGATGGCCGGCCGCTTACCAGATACGCGGCGAACTCGCGTAGTAACGGCGCGGCGGGAAGAACGAGAGAGTTTGGAGACCAAGGGTGGAGATCGAGAGAGTTTGGAGACCAACGAAGGAGAGCGAGAGAGTTTGGAGACCAATGAAGGAGAGCGAGAGAGATTGGAGACCAAGGATGGAGAGCGAGAGAGTTTGGATACCAATGAAGGAGAGCGAGAGAGATTGGAGACCAAGGATGGAGAGCGAGAGAGTTTAGAGACCAATGAAGGAGAGCGAGAGAGATTGGAGACCAAGGATGGAGATCGAGAGAGAATGGAGACTTCGCGGGCAGAGCAAGAGTGCCGTATGCAGAAGGGGATAACGGAACTCCACTGGACTTTGGACTCTCCCGTGAACTTTGGACCGGGAGAGGAAGTGCCACATCTCGGCAGTGGAGCGGCACACAGGCGTGCCACAAGCGGCACGGGAATCAGCGGAACGGCAGCAGTGGGCGGAACATCTATTGGAAGCGGTACATAAAGGACAAGTGGGTCATCCAGGAGGCACGAACTTTGGACCCAGAGTGGAGAGATCCAGCGGACCGTGCGCAAAAGGGAAATAACGGTGCTTGGAGGCCCTATATAAGGCCGCAGAGCGCTGGCAGCTGGATCAGTCGATCACGAGGAGTCAAGCCTTCAAGATCAGTCAAAGTACCAAGTGAGCAATCAGTCAAGCAAGTAATCTACGAGGGAGCTACAACCAAGCGAGTCGTCGGAAGCAGCGCCGTGGGAAGCATACAAGGAGCAAGATCGCCACGTCGAGACGTTCGGGATTAGGACATCAGGAATCTCCGAATTGAGACACAGGTGGCTGAGTTCCGAAAGGCATCACGCGGCTAAGTCAAGGCGTTTGTTTTCTAACTTTGTCACGACCACACCCTGGCGAGTCGCCCGGCGGGTCTGTCAGAGACAAGCAAAAGAGTCCTACGACGAAGAGCCGTCAGCTTGGGGAGGAAAGTTGTCTGCGACCCAGCGTACCTTGCCCGACCAAGCAGGACCTGGCGTGACGGACGAGCGGTAGATCGATTTGCGGTTTCAAGAGGCGGCAGCCTGGAGAGCCCTGCGATTACCGGCGAAGTTCCCGAGCAGCGACCGCCCAGCTCCCCGAGCGCCAGAACAACGAGATACTGGTCAGAAGACAGCGCAGAGGACATCGACAGCGACGCCAGCAGACATTTCCGGCAGCCACGTTACCATCGCTGCGCGGAGCTCATTGGGGAGCGCAGGAGCGTCGCGGACGTCACGCATTAGGGTGAAGCCGGGTGGAACGTTCGTCTGCGCTAGGCGTAAAGCGAAGTGAACCGCTAGACAGCCTCCGGGCGGCAGCCTTGACTGTCAGCGCGAACTGAGCAAGAACCTAGCGGGACCATCCGGGACAGAGCAAGGGACAGGTATTGCCTCGAAAGGCGTCAGCCTGGAGAGCAAGGCTTGTTCACCCTAGTCTGAGAACGGTGACGCTTCCCTAAGCCCACAAGGCCGAACTCTCTGCGGGTCTAAGGCGCTACAAGCGACCCCGAGGCAACGCGTCGGCAAGCAAGCAGAGGCGGCCACTACGAGCGTCCCGAGACCCAGGAGCCAAGCGGAAGCCGAGTCAACGCGTCGACAAGCCAGAAGGAGGAGCGCCAGCAGCCGGCGGAACCAGAACAAGGAGATACAGAAGCCAACATAGCCACACACCCGCTGTACCAATACCACGAGAATAAATCCCACTGTTGCCATTTGAACCCATTGTTTTCTCACTGATCTACGGGGCAGTCACGTCATATAAATTTGGTGGGACGAACACACAATCTTCTGAGCTAGCCGCACGAATCTCGTAGCGAGCAGACATACAAAATCAGTTCGTTACAACGTATTCAAAATCTGTTTTAGATATTGAGTTACTTTTCATAAAAAAAATGTTCATTCATATTTATATATTGTCTTTTTATTTTTATATCTTTTAATTTTTCTTATGACACGTATACTCTTTCATATCATTTTTATTTTTGTAGGCATCTAATTCCCTATACGTGTTCTCTAATTCTTTCTTAATTTCTACATTTTCATCCTAGGATACTGGGGTAGATTTTTCAGCGTATAGCTGCCTATTTAATTCTTTAATTTTTAAATTCAGAAAGTTCTTCTGACCTCCTCTCCTTTTTCTCTTATTATTTTTTTTTAGTCTTAGGCATTTATGTGTTATTTAATTAATTAATTTTTTTTTTAAATTTTCTGATATATATGTATGAAATTTTACATGTATTCCTACCTAGGTAAAAAAAATAAGACCCGCAGCTAGAAACTGCCTGGTCTGTATAATTATTGTTAAATATAATGTTTTGCATGGCAGATGCATATAAAAATAAAAAAAAAAAATTTAAGATGAAAAAGGAGAGGAGGTCAGAAGAACTTCCTGAATTCGAAGATTGCAGGTTCGTGTCCTGTCACGGTCGCCATTTTGTGTTTCCAATTATGTTTGCCATTATGATATTTTAATTGAAAGATTTGTAATTTGTTTGAATGACTTACAGCTAGCTATTTGCGGCTGCGCTGCCTGCAAACATTGGCAGCGGCCGTCATATATATCGAAGTATATGCTCGCAATTGTATTTGTGCTTGTAGCACTGCCCAGTCGTAAATGACAGCATTCCAGCATGCGTTCTTTCATTATGAAATGGCATCAAAAAGGTGTTCCGGAAGTGTCCATTCTTTTTACACGGGTGCGGGACAAAAAATAATGCACCCGTTGCGTGCTTTTGGAAGCATATATCTGGAATGCACCTGGAAGTAATAAACTAAACACATTCTGGGTGTACTCTTTTTTAATGCACCTGGAAGCAACATACTAAACACCTTCTGGGTGTATTCTTTTTTAATGCACCTGGAAGCAACATACTAAACACATTCTGGGTGTATTCTTTTTTAATGCACCTGGGAGCAACATACTAAACACATTCTGGGTGTATTCTTTTTTAATGCACCTGGAAGCAACATACTAAACACAATCTGGGTGTACTCTTTTTTAATGCACCTAGAAGCATTCAAAAATCAAACATCTGGAAGTTTTCCCCAGGAATACATACATAAGACTGGATTTCAATTTCATATTTTTATTTATTTATTCTTATTCAGAGTCAGAATCGTACGGTTCGGCTCCTGGCGGGCCTTCTTTAATGCGCTTCTCCCCTTATATATTTTATTTTTTTGGCGCATAAAGGCCAACCGGACGTCTTTTATATATTCCAATAAGGAATATCCTTCCCGTTTTAGTGATTCTGCAAAGATAAAAACACATTTAAAATTATTAGCTTTGGTTAATATTTATAATATAATATATTATTTCTAATATTGGCTACTTTTTATTACAAAGTAAACGTCACCAAGTTTTTAATCATAAAAATGGACGTACCTTGCAATTTAAGTTTTGGAAATTTGCAAGTCCATATTTATGTCTAGACCCACTGTAATTTAATTGCATGATTACTTCAGGGCTTATTATTTGGTCCAAGTTTTTTATTAAATTATTCCCCAAAATGGATTTAAAGAGCGGTACCTGAAATAAAAATATAAAAATTACTAGAAAATATGAATAACAACTTACATTAAGATTCGGAAATAATACAAAATTATATATTTCTTAAATCCAAAGTATACAACGCAATGTAGGAGAAGATAATTTTATGGGGCTGGAATCTTCTATTGTTTCCGAATCTTAATGTAAGTTGTTATTGCTGTTAAAGTCTGTCCGTGAACGCTTCGATTTTGGAAACTTACGTGTTTTTCCATTTTCCCGTAAATCTTTTCGTCCACCTCCTTTAAATGGTCTATCGACCGGATGGGGAAGTCGGCCTTTAGGATTGGCTCTACTGGTGCCATTTTCGAGTCGAGAATGGCCGAGTTCACGGACTTCAACTCCGCCATATCCGTACTCATTTTGCTGACCTCAGAGCTCATCGCGTGGACTACTTCCTCCAGGCGTTGGATCCGCCCATCCAGGCCACCAGACCTACTCTCCTCCACCGGCGTTGGCACATTTTCCATTTCGTGCAATTGGAAACTCATTTTCTCAAAAAAAAAAGGGAAGAAATATGTTAGAAAACTATGTTAAATATGAAGGGCAGCTAATTTCGGGAAGCCGAAGTTTGTACACTCTTGCAGATCGTTGCTATTGCCGCTACAAAACATATCAAGCAAAAACATCTCTTAACGAGGTTAAAATATAGTGACGATCTCTTCTACAGCAAACAAAAGTTCAAATATCCACTTTTGTGATATTATAATTTCACTTTACACATTTTTGTGGGCGTTAGAGTGTGAGTAGCTAATTTGGAAAACAATTTTTCGATAAATCGAAAGCTAAGGAACCTTAATAGGAGTACTCAATGTTCTAGTTTTTATAGTGTCCGAAATCACAGCGTTCAAACAGACAAACGGAGATGGGTAGATTCACTCGCATAGTGATCATGTTTAAGAAAGTATATAATTTACTGAATACTGCATTTATAATTGTGTTACATTAAACAGCGATATATTTGAATTTTCAATTTCAATTGTTTCAATTGTTTTTTCAGTGTACACTAGTCGGCATAAGTATTAGGACGAAACAAAAGTTAAATATACCCACAATTTGAACTTACTTTTTGTTAATTTTGGCATCAATGGAAAGGTAATGGGTTGGGCAAAGTATTATATCATTCAAACAAAATTTAAATTACCTTTCCATTGATGCCAAAATTAACAAAAAGTAAGTTCAAATTGTGAGTATATCTATTTAATAGGTTAGAAACATACACACCTTTTAAGGCTAGACGAAAAATAAATAAAAAGAAAAGAAAGAAAGAAAAAGAAAGAAATTCGTTAGCAGGTTAAATTATAATAAATACACTAACAGGATTTATCTTACCAAGAAGAAATATACTTGGGCATGTTAGGCATTTGTGTTGATTAAAAAATTGCTTAGATTACAAAAATTTTTTGCGCGCGAGTTACCGCCTCAGCACATTCTATCGGCGGTCCCCCACCTAAGCCCCTACGTTTGGCAAGCAGCTAGAAACAAACACTTGATATATAAAGCTGAAATGAAGGAAAAAATATAGTAATAAAAATAAAACTAAACACAATGAGCATACGGAAATAAATAAATGAAAGAAATAATAAAAATATGCAAGCAACAAGTTATGAAAAATGGAAATAAAGGCAGTAATTCCAAACGCAGACAAAAATGTAAAGGGGAGTGTAGGACAAGTGCAAAGGACCGAAGCTGCACAACAGCAGAGAGAAAAAAAAAAATAAAAATAAATAAATAAGTAACCAAAATACAGGTGACAATGTTTAATAACCAAGAGCTTCGTCTTCGCGAATTAAATGGAAGGTTCGAGTGTAGCACAGACGGTTCGAGTTTGCGTCGAACGGTTCGATCGAACGGTCAGCCGTCGACAAGTGTCGGCAGGCGGTCGTGGTTGTCGATGGTTCGATGCGAACCGAACAGCTCGGTCGAACGTTCGATCGCCAACGAAGGGCGGATGGAACGTGTTGCAGACAGCTCGTGCTACGACATTGGTGGTATTCGTTCTTGAGTGATGACAGCCGGGAGCATAGAGTAAGAATCTATATAGAGGTTTCAATTGCTCTGCCCGAACCTCTGCCCAACCTCTGCTAAGAGCCAATTCAAGGCCAAGTTTGAAGCTAACTTAGGTGCGAAGCAACAGCAATAGGGATTTCGATTAAAAACAAAAACAAAACAGTGAGCAAGAGCGGTGCAGAATGAGGTGGGAAGGAATTACAAGTTCGGTCGAACTTGTCAAAAAGAGGGGAAATAAGCATTTTTCGCCTAGGTGGCATCATAGCCTCATTATCTAAAGAGAGCGGCAGAGCAATTGGCGCCTCTATATAGTTCATTACTCTATGCCGGGAGGTTGCAGACAGCGCGTGTCGAGTTGGCAACGGCTGGCGGCAAATTCAAGCCAAGACAGAAGAGGATCGAGCGGTTCGATCGGTGCAGGCACAGTGGGATGTAGAGTAGCAGACTAGAGTTCGGGAGCAAGCTTATAATTAGAAAACAATAATAAATAAATAAATTTTCTCCTTTAACATGTATTAGGCGGCGCACTGTGTTACACAGGGCGGCCGCTTAGCATGAGAAGGGGGCAAAGTAATATGAAGAAATGTCGATTTATAATAAGTACTATCGGATTGGGCTTTCATTTGTATTAGGCGACAAACTGCGGAAGCAGAGCGGTCGCTTAGCAAGGGAGGTACCAGTTCGATGGAACAACTATAATAAAAGTTTATATAGACCCAATAACATGTATTGGGCAGTGCACTGTAATGCACAAGGCGGCCGCTTAGCATGGGGATGAGGTGATGTACTAGTAAACAAGAACAATATAAGGGACTATCCACATGTATTAGGCGATACACTGTAGAGAACGGGGTAGTCGCGTAGCATGGGGATAGCCAAAACAAATACCCTAAGGGCAATGTCTGTCCGCATTTGGTCGTGAGGTTGTATCGCACAGCCGATCGGCTAGCTTCAGCATGTCAGGTAACAATAAAAGAGGGGGAAAAAAAAGACATAAATAAAAAAATAATTAAATAAATAAAAAAATAAATATACAGCAATCGTAGTTATTTCGATGAGTTTGAATGATAGGAAGACAGGGAAGCAATAACAATAATAAGAAATAAATAATAAAATTTTGAGACCCATTGTTGATATTTATTTGTTTTAAAAATCGATTAAGAGAAAAGTACTCATTTTAAATTAATTCCAGAACTCCATTACACCACACGGAAGCTCGTTGAACCACGACACACTACCAACAAACAGAAGATAACCTATATAACTAAAACGATAAAATAAGTACACAATTACACACACATACAAATTTAAGAACACTAGTAATTAAGAAACAAACACAGACATAAGCGAGAAGCAAAAACAAGTTAAAAGTAGACGCAAAAGCACAAGCAATCGAATCCATAAACCAATGACAGAAGAAGGAAGGCCTACAGCAATGGCAACAACAAGCGTGTTAGAAGCTATTAAGGTAATAGACCTGGTAGAAATCATTCCGAAGTATGAAGGAGAGGCAGGAAAGTTAGACGGTTTTATAGGAGCAGTGGAACAGGTACTGAGCCTCATAAAAGGGGAGGAAAGATCGAATATAGGAATAATCGCTCTTAGAGCGGTAAGGAGTAAGATCATAGGACAAGCAGATAAAGTCCTTGACTTGGATGAGTCGGAATTAAATTGGGATCAAATAAAGAAAATATTAATTACTCATTTCAAAGATAAGAGATCCGAGCAGGATTTGATTATGGAGTTGACTCATATTAAGGAAAAGAAATTAGAGTTGGAAACCCTATACACGAAAGTGATGACCCTGAAGAAGGCCCTAGTGAGCCTAATTAAATCCAATGAGCAGGGCATCTTGTTGAGGAGCGAGAAGATTAAATAATACGAAGAAATGGCGTTAAACGCTTTCGTTTCAGCCTTGAAGAGCCCAGTAGGGGTAACTATCAGTGCCCAATATAGCCAAGGCATACGAAATTGCTTGTAGAGAGAAAAACTTGGGTACCTTACAAGAAGCACAGGAAGAGGCAAAAGGCCAGGGACTGACCAAAACCCAGACCAAAGAGGGTAAAGTAACTCCGAAACAGGAGCTGGACAAACAAGACAATCCAGGGCCGGAGTCGCAAACTGGCATGTGGTCTCAATCCCGGTGGGCAGCTAATGCCCAACCGCAGTTCCCAATGCCGTTTCCGGTACCAAATATGAATGGATGGCCAGGATTTGGATTTCCATATCCAATGATGGGGAACCCATTCAGGACAGACAGTAGTAATCAAGGAGAAACTTCCAACTATCAAAGACCATACCGAAATTATCAAAACAAGAATAATAAGTGGAATTATTGACAGAATAGTCGAGGCAGACAGTGGTATGGAAACAATAATTATAACAACAACAAGCCTAGAGAGGGCCAGCTAGCCATCCAAGCGGCTGGCGACGCAGAAGGCAGTGTCCAGACTAGAATGACTAGGAATTCGAACTTTTCCGGGCAGTCATATAATTCGAACAATTCAAGGCAGTCGAATAACACGACCGATTCAAGACGGTCATATAATTCGACTCAGAGCAGCAACTCAGAGAGGGGCGGAAATCGACCGTCGACAAGCGGTCAGTTACATAATATTCAAGAGGATGATGCAAATTTTTCGCAATCAGCCTCGAACAACCAACAGGATATTTAGGAACTAGAAGGGGTCACTCCACCCTACCATATGTAAAGATCAAAATCACTCCACAAAAAACAATAAAGTTACTAATTGATACAGGATCTACTTACTCCTTCATTCGTCCCGAATTAGCTTAATCGCAGTACGTGAAGGAGCTGAAAGACCCCATAGCCATTAAAACAATTACACAGTCCCACACTATTCTGCAAGAAGCACATGTACAAATGTTCAGAGAATTCGAGGAGTAGGAAAAATGAGGTTATTACTTTTCAAATTCCACCAATTTTTTGAAGGTTTAATTGGTATAGATTCGCTGCAACAAATGAAAGCCGTGATCGATATTAAGAAAGGTCGGTTCCGTACGGTAGACACAGAATTGCAGATACATTTCGCTAAGTATAGGCCCAGCGAGGTCCACTCAATAAAAGCAGGGACAAAGTCAGTTATTCCTCTTCCGGTACAGGTACCCGATGGGGATTTTTTGTTAAACAAAACAATAGTAAAGGAGGATTTGATAATTTCAGAAGGAATTTATAGGGCAGTGGCTGGAAGGAGCCTGGTTTAAATAACAAACTATGCAGAGGAAGACCAGGAATTATTTTTGGAGGAGCCGTTGGAAGGTGCTGAATTCGAAACTGACCAACATTTCGAGCTCAACAATATAGAGGTGACAGACAATGAAAATAGGAGGATACCATTCGATAAGATCAGAACGGAACACTTAAATAGAGAGGAGCTTAAAGAGCTCCAACGAATTTGTAAGAAATATCCGAAAGTATTCCACAAAGAAGGAGACCATTTGTCATTCACTAATGCGGTCAAGCACCAAATTAGAACGAATGACGACATACCGGTGTACGCAAAACCGTACAGGTATGCATTCCAAGAAAGACAGGAGGTGAGAAGACAACTAGAAAAGCTGTTAGAGCAGAAAATCATTAGACATAGCCATTCTCCTTGGAGTGCGCCGGTGTGGCTAGTGCCCAAGAAAAAGGATGCCTCTGGAGAGAGGAAATGGAGAATGATGGTGGACTATAGAAAACTCAATGAGAAGGTAATTAAAGACAGATACCCTATGCCATTAATCAATGACGTATTAGATATCTTGGGTAGGGCTTAATATTTCTCAACTTTAGATCTGGCGAGTGGATACCACCAGATCGAGGTGAAGGAAGAAGACATCCCGAAAACTGCCTTCTCGGCAGAAGGGGGTCACTTCGAGTATGTCCGAATGCCGTTCGGGCTAAATAACGCCCCAGCAACATTTCAAAGGTTAATGAACAATGTTTTCGGAGAGTTGCTTGGAAAGTGTTGTCTTATATATATGGATGACATTATGGTGTACTCGACATCCTTGCAAGAACACGTAACGGATTTGAAAGAAGTTTTCAAGAAGCTTGCGGAGGCAAACTTCAAGTTGCAATTAGACAAGACAGAATTTTTAAGGAAAGAAGTGGAATACTTAGGACACGTAGTCACCCAGCAAGGAATCAGACCGAACCCAGGAAAGATCGAAGCGATAAAAAGATTCGAGATTCCCAAGACTAGGAAGCAGATAAAGTCGTTCCTAGGTCTGTTAGGATACTATAGGAAGTTCATAAGGGATTTCGCGGCTATAACAAAGCCATTGACAAAACAGTTGAAAGGAAAAAAGGCTGTGCAGATGGACCAGGAATATAAAGATGCATTTGAGCTATGCAAGACCTTACTGTGCAATGACCCAATCATACAGTTTCCTGACTTTGATAAGCCTTTCATACTCACCACAGATGCAAGTAATT